CACTGTTTGAGTTCAACTCTTCCTCTTGCCTCCTATCTATTTACATTTTCATGGCATGTTTTGGCTCTTCCTTTATGCTGAAATCTTTGGGTCATTTTGTTTTAGCTACGTCTCCAGGTAACACCAGAGTTGGGTTTTTTGGTTGCTATTTGTCATTGTTTATAAGCTGCTCTGCGAGTCTGTCTTTCAACAGAGTGGAGAAGCAGTGTAGACTTGATGTGATGACTGGCAAGCTAAGGTAACAGAGGGTGAGTCCACGTGACCTCTGCAAGTCTGCAGTGAGAATGGCGCCATTTTAAGAGCTTGGACTTTAGGCTCTGATTCCTCAGGTTCCATCTCAGCCTCTTATTAGCTGCGTAATTAATTAACTAATTGCTTGCAGACAAGTTACTTCGACACTTCCGTTTCCTTATCTACACAACGTGGGTCATAACAGGACCTACCCCATGAGACTGAGATAGAAATTGAGTAAGTTAACACAGGTGGAGCCTGCAGAGCAGGACCTAGCCTTTGGTATAGGCTCTTGCTTTGTCCTTTTGCTTTTATGCCTTCTTATTTCTTTTTTCCCAATGATTCTTTGTTGTGTTGCTGACATTTTTCATGCCGCTTTTTGCCTTGTGTGTTTCAGAGGCTCCGCATCTTACTTCAACGTACTAGTTATCACCTTGCAGGAAAAACATATATTTGAACCTGTCTTTCTCTACTTAAGTGAAAATAGCTCTCCCTAAGTAAAATAAGAAATTTAAAATCTCTCATTCTCCCTCCATTTAACATGATATTCTGTTGGAATAATCTAGGCTTTTAGATCTAGATTATTATTAACAACCTTTTTTTTTCTACAACTTTTTTTGAGGATGTGTATAATGTTTGCATTAAGTTAATGTCCATGTTATTGGGAGTTTTTTAAACTTAAATACCCATTTTATAGGTCTAACATACCATGTCTTTTATAATTTGTCCCTGCCATCTTAATTTTGATTGGTTGCTTCTGAGGGGAACGGAGTGTGTAGTGCAAGGCACATGGTCCCTCCCTGAATCCACACCTGGGCCCTGCCTCACCTGGGCCATGGCACTTCTCCTTCCCTTGACTTTGGGCTTGGCCCCGTGACTTGTCTCGGCCAGTGGTAAATGGGCTGAAATGAAAAGATAGCAGTTCTGAGGTTGGACTTCAAAGGTCCTTGCCCTTTTCTGCTTGCCCTCTTCCCCTCTGCCATCACCCAGAGAGGAGCCGGCCCCAGGCAAGGATGAGAGACACATGGAGCACAGCCTCCCTGTTGACCTGCAGAACTACAGTGAGAAGCGGTGCTGTCCAGCCACATCCCTCCCAGGTGAGCCAAACCCGGTGACCACAGATGTGTGACTGTGGTTTGGGGGTAGTTTGTTATGCAATAATAGATAAGCAGTACAAAGGAATTCTTCAGTTCTTATCAAGAGGCGGAGTCTATTTCTCCTTCCTTTGAATCTGTGCTGGCCTGTGACTTGCTCATCAGAACTGATGTATAGGAAGTTACAGGAGACATTTCCAAGTTTATGAAAGGGAGGTTAAATTCATTTGTCAGAAAGACAGACTGAATGGGTTCTTAATTAAAAACATAAACTCAACACATAAACAAGTAGAGCCACAATTATCTGTGCCGTGTAGTCAGTATGGCAAGGCAACTCTAGGCTGAGCGTTATTAAATTACTAATACACAGGTCACTCCTTTGATTTGGTAGAATGTGTA